CACTTGGTAGCCCAGGCTGGCCTCGAACTCACAGAGATCCGCCTGGCTCTGCCTCCCGAGTGCTGGGATTAAAGGCGTGCGCCACCAACGCCCGGCTAGAAAATGTTTTAATTTTAAATTTTTTATAGTGTTTTGCCTACATGTATGTCTGTGAGATCCTCTAGAACTGGTATTACAGACAGTTGTGAGTCGCCATGTGGGTGCTGGAAATTGAACCCAGGTCCTCTGGAAGAGCAGCCCATACTCTTAACCACTGAGCTATCTCTCCAGCCCCTTAAATTTAACTTTAATAACTAAATTTTTAGTAAAATAATCTTAAAATTGAATTGAAGAGACATGTTTATGTTCTAGGAATTCTAGTACACCTAACAAAAATCCAAGTAGAAATGAAAATGAATGTAACACTTCATTTCCTCTTTCCAAACAGCTTCTCTACTCTTCCAGATGACTTTGACTGTCCTAACATTTGTACAACAAAAAACTATCCAGTGGTTGGGTGCAGCAGCTCACACCTGCTGCAGCCACTTAGGCAAGCGGCTGGGGCCTCTGCACTCAGTGGTCTTCTCCAGGAACACAGCCCTCTGCACAGCAGGCTCTGACAGGCCTGCTTTTGTCACTCTGCAGCAGGCAGGAGGAAACTAGTCACTGGCAGCCCAGAGAACTAGTGTGAAAAGAGTCATCTTGTTGTGAGTTCTTGTGCTGCTAGACGTGAACTATCTGCCCTTAGTCAGTGAAACTGGATTCTTTTGTTATCAAACAGCATCCAATAAGCTAAAAAATTAACTTGTTAGCTTGAATATAAGATACAGTCTCAGACCATGCACAATTCTTGATACAGACAACACCCAATGAAACAAATGGAAAAAAGCTCAATCTTAAGGCCATTTAAAAAACATGAAATGGAAAACAAGAGATATTTGTGAGATACAAATTTTGGAAGAATGTAAAAATATAATATCAAATGTAGAGAAATAATTATGCAACATTTATACAAGCGAACAAAAGATTTCATGCATGTGGCTGACTATTTCTAGTTACTCATGCTTTTTTAAGGGGAAGGCAGATATTACAGGGTGAGGACAGTCATTTGGTGTATGTACTGTATATATTTACCCGTGTATACACACCCACACCCACACACACACACCCACACACACCCACCCACACACACACACACACACACAACTCAGAGTGCAACCTGAGAACTGCCTAAGGGGTTAACTGCAGTTCTGCCTGGTCTAAACATAACTAGTCCACAGATGTTTATGAAGAGGATGAGATGAAGGATACAGGGAACTATAAGAACAGAATGGCTAAAGAACAAATTAGATAAAACTGAGAAGATGGGTATAAAATAGGAAAACGAACGATCTACTGGTAAAAAGATTTCTACGTGTCCCAAGACCTACACCTATATAACAGTAATTGATAGCATCCTGGAGGCTAAAGCAGGAGGCTCACTTGAAGGCAAGAAGTTCCACAAATGGCCCGGCTGGGTAATATTGTAAAATTAAAAATAAATAGGTGCATACACACTATCTTCAAGTATCTTTTGGTCATATATGAAAAACCATAATCCTACCTTTCTAAATTGAAAGAAAAAGAAACAATAAGACACCAGAAACTATGCTGTATGGCAATTTGGGGACATTCAAGTGGGATATGATTCAGACAAACTTCACCCTTGGATTATTACACTTAAGACTACCTCTTCTGCTGGAGCTTACAGATACCTCTAAGGAGGATGTTAAGCAGAAGAATAAAGACTATGACATAAACATACAAATTGGATTTCTAATACATGAATTTAAATTCTAGCAAATAGAATCATGTCCAATAATTCATATAAGACCTTAGAAACCCTCTTTGGATTAACTAATGTATTATCTTGTATATATTTTAAAGTTACTGCTTGGAATTCAAATATTCGACACTGTTCTCTGCATAGCAATAAAATATTTTATTAGTTATAATCTCCCAAATTATATAATAACAAAACTACATTAGCAAATTATGTAATAGTTTTACAAAAGAAAATTCTTACTGAGAGTTTAAGGAAAGGGAAGTAAATCTGGAAGCAGAGTACTTTTACTGAGTAAACTGATATGGTATTCTCCAACAAGGAATAGTTAGAAGTCACAGAAAAGACATCTACATACTTACTTTATTAACAGCAAAGGCAGTAATGATATCAGATTCCTTATGAATAATTCTTGCTTTACCTCCAGGATATCCCAAATCTGCCTCTATCTAAATAGAAGAAAGTATAATGTTAAAATTGCTATTTTATTGATAAAACAAATGAACATATGCAAATTAATTTTAATAAAGTTTAAAAATACATCAATCCCAAAGCACTATGGTATATGTTAATTATTCCAGAAAAGAATTTGACGAGGGGAATTGTTCAAGCTAGTTTTCATATATAAAAAGACAGTTGATAAAACATATAACTTCTTGAGCTGTTTATCTCCTAAGGCAACACTGAACTAACTTTAAAGTATCGAAACATTGTAATCATTTTTGTTGTTTTTTTTCAAGACAAGGTTTCTCTGGGTCACCCTGGCTATCCTAGAACTCAAGCTGTAGACCAGGCTAGCCTTGAACTCAGATCTTCTCCTGGGATTAAAGGAGGGCACCACCATTTACCACCTAGCTGACATTTTAATAACTGAAATAAAGTTGTTCTAAGTTTCTAAGTAATGTAATTATTTAATAATTCCTATAACTATTACTAGGAAGGTCAAGTGGCAATGAGTTCAGGTTTATGGACCACAAAGATTCACTTTTGGATATTTTTGGTATTTTGCTTCCCCTTCTAAACCACCTACTAAAAAGTCCAAAGGCCAGTCTTAGTTCTTAGACTAACAACAGTTGGGATCTCACCACCCCATTGAAGTTTACTGACTTCTGATCTAAATAACCGTCCATTTAATAAGGAGAAACTGGAGTCCTGGAAGGGATGGTAACTCACTCAAGTCAGTAACTCACTTTAGTAGCTGAATTGATTCAAGTGAGTTTATAGGAAGGACAAATATATGACATTCTGTTTACCCTAGAAAAGGTACGTACATATGTATAACACCTTTGAATTCAGAAGAGAATACTTATAACATCAACATTTACCAAAATTAGTAAGCTGGAAAGCTCAGGCAATTAAAAGAAACATTGCTTAAAATTTTACTTCATTTATTTTATAATTCTTACCTTTAATCTTCTAAAATAGGTTACTAAGAAATGTTTAAAACCTCATTATGAAATGCAGAAATCATTATCTTAAAATTAGCATACAACAAACTTATTTTCTACAAAATTTAGATAAAAATTTCACCAATGCCTGCTCATTGATTAAAGAAAAAAATCAATTTATTTTAAAAATGGCCTCTAGAATGATTTTAATTGTAAGGTGCAGAGACTTATGCAATAACCAAGCCTATATACCCTGATGCAAACAAACTTTATATATTTATAATATATATTTATAGTCCCTGGATATATAAATGTCAAATATAGTCTATCTAAAATAAAACTTGCTTACAAACATAAAAGAATTTCAGTGTTTGATAATCAAACATTCTGGGTTGAAGGTCTAATTCTAAGGCAAGTATTAGTTCTGGCCCATTTCTGTATTTTTTTTTTTTGGTTTTTCGAGACAGGGTTTCTCTGTGTAGCTTTGCGCCTTTCCTGGAGCTCACTTGGTAGTCCAGGCTGGCCTCGAACTCACAGAGATCCGCCTGCCTCTGCCTCCCAAGTGCTGGGATTAAAGGCGTGCGCCACCACCGCCCGGCAATTTCTGTATTTTTTTAAATGAAAACTCGATTTATCCATTTATCTGTCTGGTATCTAAAGTACATCAAGAGGTTACTCTGGTGGTTGTGGGTTATTAACAAAGTACACCAAGAAACCACTACTGAATCTAAAGAATCTGAAGGCATTAGAAGAGACCTGACATTTTCACAGAACAAAACGTCTGCTGGTAATAGACAGAGGAACATGCTAGTTTCATGTGGAGAGCTTTCCTCAACTTTACCATGGAAAGAGAGTGGACACAAATGAATTTCAAAAAAGTTCTTTCAATATGGGAATACATTCTTGTCCTCTCATCCAAAACAATGTTTCTCAACAGCATGGTGTCAAGATTGCCTGCTTGAGATTCAACAGGGGTGGTATTTTAAATACCAAGGTTCTGAACACCATGTCAAATCTCATAGGAGTGAGCAAAGAAATTGAGCTTAGCGTCTCGACAGCTTTCAGCACATTCTATGTGAGAATGACTATACAAGTAGGATTTAAGATCTGCAGAACAGGCAGGCTCAGCTTGTGAAAAGGCCTTAAAGGCTACAGTAAAAATTCAGTTGTCACACGAATGTTTAGAGGCCATCAAAGGATTCTGGAAATTCTGTTAGGAGCAAAAACATAAAGGATGTGAGGATGGCTATCAGAAAACCAAGTAAGAAGTGATTATGCCTGAAGTGAGAACTGAGGAAGAGTGGGTTAGGAGAGCAAGTATTAAGTGGCTAGAATGGGATAAATTGTGCTAATGGGCTGTATTCTTTTAGCATGACTTAAGAAAAGCTGATTCTAGTTTTCAAGACTGATAAATGAATTCAATGTATTTCTCCAAAATGCAATCAGCTGAAATCACTACGTTAAAATATAAACAGATTATGATACAGCCACACAATAAAATGAGTATGCAGATGCTAAGAACTCAGCTCAGCTTTCCTTTCTGGCTGATCTTATGGTTTAAGTATTATCTGTGTGCTGGTGTATTTCAAATCATACTAGTTCCAATTCATTACTAAAGTGAGGCCAGATTAAAAGTTCTCAGCACAATGGCTAACACAAGAAACTTTGGTGTTATAGAAATTAAGTTAAGCAACAATGTTAGGAAACTGCCAGAGGTCAACAGCATCAAAGGATACTGGAAAGTTTAAATGGAAGAAGACAGAAGATAGAAACTGGCAACTGTAAAGCCAATTATGACCAGGGCAACCTAAGTCAAATGAGCTAAAGACAATATCTAACTACATATGGTTCTGACATCTAGTGAATAGAGAGGGAATCATAGGGACATTAAAAGGAGTGATATTTGTTTCTTAAATTAGATACTTTGGTCATGATATCTGCAGTATGAAAATGGAGAAATGGCAATTTCAAGAAAGTATAATGTGAACAGGCTCTTAATAGAAATTAAAATCACAATAAACTATCATGATTGCTAAAATTTAAAAGCCTCTGATGTCATATGTAAAAATGAAAGGTAACTGCAATCTTAATCACCGCTGGTAAGAATGTAAAATGGTATACTCACCCAGGAAAAGACAATTTCTTAAAAAGTTAAAACATACCAAGGCTATGGCCTTGCATCAATCTCTAGTGCTGCAAAAATCTATGCCTACTATGTAGTTCAGCTATCTACTCCTAGGCATTTACAGAGTAAGAAATGCCTATATGCAAAGACCCAATTTTCACAGCAGCCTTACTTGAAACTGCTTCAAAATGCAATCAGTACAAATTAGGTAAAAAGATAAACATATTATGATACAGCCACACAATATAATGAGTATCAAGAATAAGAATGAATTATGAAAACACAGAACATGGAAGAATCTCAAAATAATTATGCTAAGTAAAAGAACACAGGTCAAAAAATAAAGAAACCAAGCCAGGCATGGTGGCATATGTCTGCAGTCTCCAGCACCTGAGAGGCTAAGGCAGGATGTATGAGGTCAGCAGGGGCTACACAGTGAGCACCTGGCTGGTCTTGACTTCAGAATGAGGTTCTGTCTTAAATACAACAGCAAAAATAAAATAAAATAACAAAATAACATGACTTCACCTACATATAATTTCTGAAGATGAAAATTAATCAACACATTTTAGCTACTTGGGGAAGAAAAGGAAAGAGATGAGAAGGATGGAAAAAGGCAAGATTAAAATGTGAGAGTTGATGTGTATAACCATCTTGAAGGTGGTTATGGTTAAACTGAGCAAGCTAGATACTTTAAATATGTGGTTATTTAAGTTCACAAAATATTTTTTTTTTTTAGTTTTTAAAGGCACCATATAAAGATTCCTTAGCATATTTTCACATGTGTGGTATTATACTTTGTTCTATTCATCTCCTTTCCTACTACCCTCCTCTTTCCCTTCTGTCCCTCCTTTGTTGGTTTCCTTCCTCTCTGCACGTCACGGACACTCCCTTTTGTCATATAGTTATCTCCTCAAACTGAAGCATTCCATCCTAGACAAAAGGATGAGACTCTTGAGACTTTTAAGAAACCAACAAAACTTAGAAGGATAGGGAAACTAATGAAATTTACAAGTCTCAAGAAACTAAAGAGTTACAAGAAGGTTCACAAGGTCCCTCCTTGAAGGTTTTAAAAGCAGTAAAGAACTGCTAGGCCAAAGAAGGCTGTTTGTGGGCATGATTTTAAATAGGGTAGGGAGCTCCAGGGATGCAGGTGTTGAGAGTCACCCATGTGAGGTGCACTTTTCAGTGATGTAGCTGCTTTTGAGTTACTCATGCAAACAACCCCAATAAACTCACAATTTCACTAAGCTAGACTTGAATGGAGATGTTCCTTGTCTATCACGGTACCCTCTTGGGGTGAATAGGGGTTTTTCAATCACATAAATACCCTCTTTTTCCTCTATTCCTTCTTGTTTAAGATGTTTACCTCTATTTCATAATCCCCTTTCTGGTTTCATGTCCTATGCAACACACACACACACACACACACACACACACACACATTTACTTACAGTTTCATATAAAGAAACATGACATTTATCTGAGTCTGGCTTACTTTGCTTAAAATAATGATTTCTAGTTTCATCCATTTTCTTCAAGTGTCATGATTTCACTTTTTCTTCACTGATAGGTAAACTTTTGTTTTGTACATGTACCTCATTAACAATCATCTCCTGACAGACACACCTAGGCTAACTATTGTGAATAGTACAGCAACAAAGAGGGATGTGCTAGTATCTCTGTGGTGTGTTGACTTAAGAGTACTTTGAGGAGTACGCAGAAGTGGGATGTCTGGGACTAGGGGAATGTTCTTTTTTGTTTTCTGAGGCCCTTCCATTCTGATTTCCATAGTGGCTGCACCGGTCTCTACTCCCACGGCTGCAGTGTGTAGGGCTCTCTCTGGCCCTCTCCTTGCCAGTATTTGTTATGCTTTATATTCTTCAGGATGGCCGTTCTAACTGGGGTGAGATGGATTCTCAAAGTAGCTTTAATTTGTATTCTTTTGCAAAGTAAGATAAAGAATTCCTCTAATATTTTTGGCCATTTGCATTGCTTCCGTATAGACATTTTCTAATGTGTAGCAGTATCTGGCTGCTGAAATAGCTATGATGGTAACCAAATAATGACTAGATTTTCAGGCAACATGGACAAGTCTTTAGACATATGTGAAGAAAACAAATATTTTACCTAAAGTATCAAAGAAACATATTTGAAAAAGAATGCCCAATGATAGAGAGACATTATTTAGTATAACTATACAAGGAAAGAAAATTGTTACCTAACAAAAAAAATTTGAATTGTATTCTCTCAAAACAAAAATCATTAGAAAATTTAAACCATGCAAATATTTATTTTACCAGTTTTAGGTATAATATAGACTTGATATCAAGTCAGTTTTTTATTAATTGCAAAGGATTAGTCAATTCCCGATTCCTTTGGGAAACATTAAGAATTATTATCCTTACAAAAATATTTTGAGAAAAATTTTCCCCTAAAATTACTGATGTGAGATTGTCTTAAAATTTCTTAAGACATACAGACTAGGATAAATGAGTTAAATATCCACATAAAAGTCATAGCTGAATGTTGTAGCCACAGAAAATCTAGGAGTTATTTATGTTTGTACAAATTCTTATCTGCTCAGGTTTAATTCTAAAGAATTTAGGTATTTACTATGCACAAGGACATATGTTATATGCTATTCTTCAGAGTAAAATAAATACTATATAATAGTAATTGATATAATTTTCAAATAAGAGATAAGTTTGACTTTCAAAGGTGATACTTGCAAACACGGAACAATGCTTTATACTTCTTGATGTAATTACATTCCCTAAAAAATTCAGAGGTATTTACTCAGAAAAATCTGTAGCCAAAACAGGAAACATTCAACTCCTTTAAAAACTGCATTCTTTTAATTATTAAAAGATGATCAATTTTTATGATTATAACATTTAAGTTGTTATGATGAAACAGTAAGTTGAGGGGATAAGTTTCATTCTATTGGAAACCAAGTCCAGTTGAAAACTAAAATGCAATTTTCTTTTTGTTCTGGTTAAGAATGCAGTTTTTAATTTCAGTTGAATGACATTATGTACCTTATTGATGTTTGGCTCCTCCATCATAGAATTTTTGATGGTTTCATTGTTGTCCTCTAATGACTTCATTAAGAAAGAATAATCACATGTCAAAGAATAAAGATGAGATGTAACATGCGCAACACTGAAGTATTTTTTAAACTTATATTTGTAATCGAATTACTAAAAGAATATGGAAATGACATCTTCGTAAATTTCATATATTTTAAAAAGAATGTGTTGGAGAGTGCATGGTTAGGGAGCAGGAAATGTTGAAGGCTCAAAATTCCTTATCAACCACTATAAATTTTATTCTATTGCATGAATAATTACTTTTAATCACTTGTTTTTTGTTTTTTTTTTTTTTTTTTTTTTTTCGAGACAGGGTTTCTTTGTGTAGCTTTGCGCCTTTCCTGGAACTCACTTGGTAGACCAGGCTGGCCTCGAACTCACAGAGATCCGCCTGCCTCTGCCTCCCGAGTGCTGGGATTAAAGGCGTGCGCCACCACCGCCCGGCTAATCACTTGTTTTATAATGCTGACATTAAAAGAAATTTCTTTTTTTTAATCTAAGGCACCTTCTATGTGTAAATTTAGAGCTTCTGGTGCCAACTAAAAATCAAAGTCAAACTATTGTTTTAAACACCACTGCTTGCTTTCATGTCACAGAATTCCTCCAGAAAATCTCCTGAGTAGAAAATTCCAATTTCTATCTTTCAAATTCTCTCCTACTGATGTTGCCATGAATAGTGAATAACCTGCATGGAGGCATACAGCCTTATTCAAAGAGAAAAGTTGAGTCAGCACTTTTAAGTTCTCAGAACATTAAATCAACCAATAAAGTGCAAAGATGTTTACTGTTAAATCCAACTTTTGTTGAGAATGGCTGATAGTTTACCTACAATCATGGGTAATTAATTTCCAAACAAATACAACAATTTTGGAAGAAATTTTAGTTTGAAAAAAATGATAACTGTGTTACAATGGAAAAGAAAAGTTCTGAGATACATGATAACGTCAGATAAAGAAATGGTAAATTTTCATTTCCAATCACATAAAGGAATAAACAATGGCAGCATCAAAATACTCAGCAGGCCATCTATCAATTTTCTGAGTAACTAAATTCACAATGGCTTTTGATCATTGTATTAAAAATAATATACAAGAGGCATTTTTATAAATACCCAAAACAGGCTATTCAATTCCTAGTAAATAATTTTCTCCCAACTCTATAAATTTAAGACTTTAACTCTATCCAAGCTATTTTTTAAAATAATCTTCTATTAAAATCTCATTAAGAGTGTCATGGTCAGTAGTAAAACTACAAGGCAATTACAAATTCTTACTGCTAGGTCCAGAATGGAAAGTGAGTAGGGATCCTGCATCCCACAAAACCCAAAACCTTTTTCTTTGAAAAAGGGGGATCTTTTAAGACCTCATTTTCTCTTTAGACCAGAATAACAATCTGTGTCTGTAGCAGAGAATGAGAAAATGGAGACAATAGAGGCAACCTGGGATGGGGCCCCTGAACTTGATCTCTTTTCCCATCCTTCCACCCCACCCCTTCACCCCCCAGAAAAGGTCTAGCTAACCTGTCTAAATTTACACTTCATGCTAGCTTTTATATTATGGCTTCCTATAAATTAGAAAATGGACACAGGCAGCATGGGGTGGACATTAGCCACCTGTGTCCTCCATTTAGCAAAAGTGTAAATAAATTCATTTTCCTTTATAAAAAAACAAACAAAAAATTCCACCACAACAGAGTTCTCATAACTTTCAATGATTGTGCCAGTGTTTAAGTTTACTATAAAAAAAAAATGTAAAGGAGTTAAATAGTTGTTCTGCAGATTAAAAAATTTAGAAAAAAACTTACTGATGCTACGAAAACTGTTAGTTAATACTTATGCTCATTCTTTTGATTTAAAACTGTAATAAAAGGCTGGGCGGTGGTGGTGCACACCTTTAATCCCAGCACTTGGGAGGCAGAAGCAGGTGGGTCTCTGTGAGTTTGAGGCCAGACTGATCAACAGAGTGAGATCCAGGACAGGCTCCAAAGCTACACAGAGAAACCCTGTCTCAAAAATAAAAAAAAAAATAAAAAATTCTAAATGTCAATATTGTATTAGACAAACATTAAACCAATTGTAACTCCACATCAATAAAATAAGATAGTTAAAATAAAAATGTGTTAAGTTTATGCATTAACTGTTATTCTTGTATGATATGGCATGGTTAACACCACTCTATTTCTTATGCTAAATCACCGAGACATCAAATCTTCATGCATGTTAAAAGGCATACTACAGGAAAAGGAGCAAGCAGAATGAGCTGTTAAAATCTAGGACAATGTAGCAGTATCCTTATTACATAAGAAAGCTATAAATTATAATTTATTTTAGGAAAAGACATTAAGATAAAATATACCTTTCTACTAAACACAGTTTAATTAGTCATATATTCTTGTCTAACACAGTCACTGTTAACTATATCCATTTTCTTGAACTGTTTTAGTGATAACTCACATAGTAAACATATAATCATATTTTAGTTATGTTAATAGGGAAATGACATTTATGTCTGCTTAGATTTCAATATACTATTAAAAAATTCACCTTTAAATTCTTAATTAGCAAAAGTGTATATTTTTTTTGTGGTATGAACACAGCAGATAGTAAATAACACACCCAGTTGTTTATTTATAATTTGGTACTAAGGGAGGGGGACATGATGTAAGTACATTATAATTTCCAAAAGTAAAAAAATTTAAACACTTTAGTACTTTAATTGAAAGACAATTATGTATGAAAATTTCCTTTTATTTGACATTTGATGGTATCTTGTTTTTTCTTTGTCTATTGTGAAGCCCTTCTATTTTCTTAATTTTCCAACCATATAGCTATTTTCATTCCTCCCACTTCAAAACCAGTACAAAGTTTGTTTTCAGACTAATGACCATGTTCTTTCATTTATAGACTCTGTTAATGACTCTAGAAGAAAAACTGGCTATTTATAACTATGTCTACTGTTTAGGTTCACCTTATAATTTTTAGTTGCAAAGCATTTTCAATGAAAAAAGGAAAAGAGATGTTCATTTATATTCAGATGGCAAGATCTTCACGTTATCAAATATATATTTTAGTAGCCGTGGACTAATGATCCCTCTCCTCAAATAAACAAACCAATAAACACAAACAAAAAACCCATTGTAATGCTATCAAGGTATAATCAAGCTATTACAGTTTAATTATAAACTAGTTTGGATTTGTAAAGTTTCCTTTATTTATATATAATTCCTAGAAGAAAATATGCATATTCAGAATGTTTCCAGGAGGTAAACCCAGTTTCAACTAATTCTAAGGTAGACTTCTCTTAACTATCATGTGAAAATCATAGGAAATGTCTCTTAAGAAACTGGTCATTACAATGCAAAACACAATATGCAAAAATCAGAATCTTAACTCAATATCTACTTTAGGAAAAAAAGTTCAAAGAACGTTACTTAAATTGATATGTGAAAATATTGTCTCTTTCCTTTTAACAAATCTTTCTAAACATCAATTAAATGTTTATGCTATCAAATGAATTTTCAAAAAAAAAAAACCCTTGCAAACTTCAATTATTTTAATGACTGCAGTATAATATGAAACTTTAGTAATAAAATAGCAAAGAGTTTTAAAATCTACAAACCTCATTTAGACATCGTTTCTTTGTGAATATATTTCTGATAAAAGTTTCTTGAATTTCTTCCTGTTTCACCAAGTACTGCCAAAGCCTCTTCACAGACAGTGCCAGATGATTTCTGGATCTATAGGTACAATACACTTAATTATTTACCTGAGATTTCTGATTAACTTGACATTTCCTTAGCATATACCAGTGTTTATTTAAAAAAATTTAGCTAGGATTTCACCCCATATTCTAGGAGAGCAACTAAAGAGTTTTTTTGTTTTGTTTTGTTTTTTTAAATAAAGGATCATTAACTAATAGTTTAGGATTAGTGGACAATATGGTTTCTGTGACTAAGTCATTGTAGTAGGAAAGTAGGTAAGTTGAACAACCTTTATTTGAGTGCTCCAAAATCTGAAACTTTTTTCTGGTTTTTGGTTTTGTTTTGTGTGTTTGAGACAGGGTCTCATCATATAATTATGGTTGGAGTGGAACTAACTATAGATCAGGCTGACCTCAAACTCACAAAAACCCACCGATTTCTGTCTCTGCTTCCCTAGTGGTGAGATTAAAGCACATATCACACAGTGGACTAAAATTTAACACTTTTTAAGTGATGATAGGATAGGTTTCACAGCATTTTAGATTCTGCATAGAGATAATTATTCAACCATTAAAGTCTTATCCTCATCTGCAAATGATTATTTATGGCTGAGCTAATAAAACTGACAAAAGCAGGAATAGGAGTGGATTTAGTCAGAGGGGCTGGCCATAATCTCCTGACCCTTAAACCACGGACATGGGACATAGCAAAAAAAAAAAAAAGTTGTTTCCTAGAAGATAACTAGAGGCAAAATTTCTTAATGTGTTTGCTGTGGACATAATCTTGTGGTTTTTAGCTAAAGTGGCTTAAGAGCTTCTATAAGAGCGTAAGTGATGACATGAAAGAACTAAACACACCATTTACTTAATACTTAGTTGGGGCAAGACTTTCTAGATAAAGCAAGTATTGTATAAACTTAACTAGAGGTCAAACAGTTGCTGAATAGCTATTTTTCTTTTGCAGAGTAGGAGTTAATAAAAGTACTCTCCTCAAGCCGTATCTACTCCTCAAGCCATATCTAGCTAGTCTGTCACGTTTACTGGCCCGTAGTCAAGCCTCCTTAGTTCCATATTCTCCGTGGGTGCTTTCATTCACATATTCTAGATAACGTCAGAGTTATCTAGTCATGACAATGCATCCTGAGTGCCTAGAAGAGTCACTATCAGGACCTTCAACAGAAATGCTTGGTAACCTTTGAAAACCAGGAACACACCTCTGTCTTCGGTGTAAGGCAGACATGCTCCTAGAGCCAAATGTTAAGCATGGACCGTAAGTATTTCTTTCTCTAAATGCTATTCCAAAATAACCCGATTCTACAAAACTTGTAAACAAACAAACAAAAACCAGCTACCCCCACCACCAATATCCATGGTAAAGCCTACTTGAAAGGAGTGTTTGTAGGTTCTAGTAAAGCTTTGTGACGGAGTATCGCGGGCCCTGCAGACACAGTCTCTTCAGAAGTGTGACTGGAAATATAGTTTTGAGGCGGTCCACCATGGACTTCAAGTCGTCGGAGAAGAACTTGCTCCCAACACTGAAGAGTTTTGAGAACTGCATGACAAAGAGGTGAACTAACCGGTAGTTCTAAAAAGGGAAAACACAATTGATAGTAAGATGTTTGTGAAAAAGCAGAGGATATTAATACAATTTAGTAGGGATATGGGGGCACTGAATCTGGCATTTTGAAGATAAAAATGACATAAATCTTTACAACTATTTCAACATTCCTTTGAAATTTAATTTCACATGAAAAATATGCTTGAAGATTATAAAAATGTTTATGGAAAAAAATTAATTGCTTTAATCTTTGTAACAGGCCTGAAAGTCATTTGATATTTTTGTTTAGAAAATGAAAATAAGCAAAGTTTAAAAAATTCAATAATACTCAATATTCAATGAATAAAGCACTGCTATTAAAAAATTCAATAATACTCAATATTCAATGAATAAAGCACTACTTTATCAGAACGTCTTCAGTCTTATACAGCAATCCTACCTTCAAATTTTCACTCTTTTTGTCTATCTACCCACATCTAGTAAGTCTTGATTTTGATTTCTGAAAATTACTGATTTATCATAATACAATGAATATAAACTTTTCCTCCCTCTATTATTCCAACAGTCACAAAATTTGTGTTTAAGTTGGTATTTTAGTGTTTCCTTGAGTGTATGAATAAACATTGTTTACAGCTCAAGTGTCTTGCTGTAAGAACACACTCCTTTATTTCATAGACAGCCCTCTCCTACTGTGGAACTCATCACTGTATTTGAAGGTTTATAGGTCTAGTATTAAGTCCCAGGTACAGAGATAGTCTCAATATAATAATATCAGGTTCAGGGCTTTTGATTTCTCAAACATTTCCTCAGCAGGTAACAGTATGATACAAAAATTTAAAAACAATTTATACTTGAAAGAAATGTATCTTTTACTATAGGAACTCATTAAATTTTTTCTTTATTTACGCGTAGAATAACAATCGGCATTGATTCATATTAAGATGTTTATTACCTGCAAGATCATGACCTGCAAAGGGATAGAAAGTCTTCAAATTGCTGAGCACCAACTGGACCATAGCCAATCGCATCAATGACCAACTAAAAATAAAAGTTTCTCTGTTAAAACATTTACACAGGGATCTAGAAATGATGCCACCCGTTAACACAACAATTTCCCTACAACAAATTACCCCAAAGATATACATCTGTAAAACAAAAATAATATATACATATAAGTAGTTATTCACATCAGCATTATCTAAAACAACAGTTAAAATAACCTAAATGCCTGTCAGGAGAGCAGTGGCTAAATAATAATAGTTTTGAAGGATGGAATTTTACAGTAACTGTCAAAATGAATTAATATTGCTAAAACTACAGTATGCAATTGTAATTAAAAAGCAAGCGTAGGGGCATCATATGTATATATGTGTGTTGTCATTTAGGTAAGAAAGCAGGGGAAATAATAGAGATGTACTTATTTCTGTAATCAGAAGGACACAGAAACTAATTAAAAATAGCTATCTTTGCTGAGACGTGGTGGCGCATGCCTTTAATCCCAGCACTCAGGAGGTAGAGACAGGTGGATCTCTGTGAGTGCAAGGCCAGCCTGGTTTATAGAGAGAACTCCAAGACAGTCAACAAACTACACAGAGAAATCCTGTCTCGAAAAACAAAACAAAACAAAACAAAAAGGCTATCTTTACAAGTACCAGGGAAAATGGAGCAGAAATGAGAAATATGAGGCTTCTGACTTTACATTTGTATATAGTTTAACTTAAAACTATTTCTGCTTTTCACTGATTTTAAATATGTCATATTAATGTCTATGGTACTGGCTTTAAATCATTAACTGTGCAAAATGTGCACAACATGGAGTTGAACATTTTAGCATTCTCAACAACAGCACACTCACACTGTTTTGGAACCATCATTCTCTACAACTTTTCATGGAACAAAACTGCTAAAAAAACTATACACTTTTCTCTATTCTAGTGTCTATCAATGTGACTATTTAATGCACTTCATAAAGCAGAACACACACTATTTTTTTGTGACTGAATTATTTCTCTTTGTATAATATCCTCAAGATGCATCCATGTTGTATCATGAATCATAATCCCTTTCGTTTGTAAAATAGAGTAAGTTTCTGATTATGCACGTAACACATTGTTCTTATTCAGTCACTCTATAAGACACTTGGATGTCTCCTACCCACTGGCCATTATGCTGCTGTCACCTGGATGTATGAACACATATCTAAGTTCCTACATTCAATCCTTTCAGTATATATCCACAGTAGAATTACCATATTATACAATAGTTATATTTTTAAGTTTTAAAAAAACTACTTTATCATTTTCCAAAGTGTATGTACCATTTTATAGTCCAACCAAACGAACACAAAGGTTCTGATTTCTCTTCATCTTGGCCAATACTGTCATCTTATTATTTTTGTAGCAGCCACCTTAATGGGAGTGAGACAGCATCCCACCGTGATTTTCTTACCCTTTCCCAAAGACTCAGAGTATTTCTCCAGTGTTTATCAGTCATTTCTATGTCTTCTTTCCAGAAACAACTGCTCAAGTTCTTTGACCACTTTCCCTGACCCTTTGTTTTTTCCAAAACTGAGGACTGAACCCAGGGTTTCACACATGCAAGACAAATGCCACAATTAACCTACATCTCCAGTTCTGGCCAGTTTTTAACTGCGTTGCTTTTTGTTGGATTACACAATACAACTTCTGAGTCATACATATATTTATATATTCAAAAGTAAACTAAATTCAACAGAAAAAAACCTTCACCAGTAAGCAAAATCACTTAATTTTTCAATAGAGTTACTATCCAGAAATCTATTTGTTTCTTTTCAAACTTTTATTAAGCCATCATTAACATGCCATGTCTTAATAAATATATTGCTGCTCCAATGTAAACAACATATGAATAAGACCACTCATGAATATAAAGCCAGTGAACCATTCAAACTGGTGTTGAGTATAGAGAACACTTAACTTTTGTTTTTATAATCACAAAAGCTTTTTAAAGATATCTTATAGAACTAGAGGTCTATTAAACAGCATTTGATGTTCTTGTTTGAAGTCCTAGATTTATCTCATGGGCCAAAATCAAAGCATAATACGAAAGGATTTGTGTGACATGTTACAAATTATAATGGTTTACCAAGGGATAATCAAGCGTTAATTGAAAATGTATTGCAGAAGAAAGGAATTTAACAATTCCAACTAGATAAAGTGTGTAATAATTCAGTAAATTATTAATTTCATGTTACTTTTATTACTTATATAGGCCAACATGATTTTTTTTTTTTAAAAAAAGAAGCTTAAAACACAATATTCTATACCTGAATGAATTTGAATTAGAATGTTCCTGGAGAGGGAGATCAGAAGGTAAAGTATCATCATCATCATCGTCATCGTTGTCGTCATCATCATCACTTTCTAGACTCTCCTCAGAATCATACTCTGCTCTACTTTGGGAAGGAGGCAGAAAAGGCTGAAACAAAAATTATATACCTTATCATCCAAATGTCTGAGGTGATGCATCTAAACATATATTCATCCTATTTGTGGATGTTTCATTATAAGTAAAATATTATTTACCACACTGTATCTTTGATATAATTTTATCTATTCACCCATTCAACAAAAAATTTCTTAAGAATGTCCCTGAAAAGTCTACTTGAGATATATCTAATAGCTACACAATTCTCCCCTATCTCCCTGATAGGTCACAGTATGCAGCCCAGGCTAGTCTTTGCCTGTGGTCTTTCGGCTTCAGCCTCTCAAGTGCTAGGATTACAGGCATTTGACAGCATAAACTGGCACAAGAAATAGACAGTTCTTGCTCTGTGGAATAGTGCAGGACTGAAAAACTGATCATTTGAGCAGAAATTCTAAAAAAAAAAAAAAAAAAAAAAGTTAATAACTAGGAAGACAAATAGAAAGGTTATGTGACTTTTAAAAGTAATTGTCAAAACAAATGATAAAGCAGCTGAGAAAAATGTGCTAAGGTATACTAATGCAGTCTAAGCATTAGTATATGCTACAAGTAAAATGTATAACCTCACTCCCCCACTGGGATCCACAACTGAAAAATTAAGCATGAAGTTAAAGGCTTCTCATCAAACTGTTTACTTGTGGCTTTAACAAACCATTTTGTGTGTCTATCTATGTGCGTATGCATGTGTGACGGCAAGGTCACTCTTTGGTGTCTTGCTTATTGCTTTCCACCTTAGATTTTGAGATGGGATTCTCACTGAATCTAGAGCTCATGATTTTGCTAGACTTGCTGGCCAACAAGGTCCTGGGACCAGCTGTCCTGGGTTATCCAGTTACGGATGTGCATCACTATATGCCTGGCTTTTAAATGGATTCAGGGAATCCAAATTCTGGTTCTTGGGCTTTCACAGCCCTGAATAACAAGAGTATTCTTTCATTCATTAAAAAAAAAAAAAAAGAAAAAAACACTGTAACTGGAAGTTTTCCTGTGTCGCGGCCTGTCAAAAGTCAGGACAAATCTCTCCCACTCGAGTCCCCCAAATAAACACATACGAGGCTTATGTTTTTAGCTAGCTGGCTCTATATATTAAATTAGCCCATAACTATTAATCTATGTATCACCACATGTTCTGTGGCTTTACCTGCGTCCCATTACATGTTGCTCCATGGGCGGCTGCCTGGCTGGTGTCTCCGCCTTCCTCCTGTCTCTCCCTTTGAATTTCCCACCTGCCTCTAAGCTGCCTTGCCATTGGCCAAACAGCTTTATTTATCAACCAATCAGAGAAACATATATTCACAGTGTACAGAAAGACATTCCCCCATCACTTCCCCTTTTCTGTCAAAACAAAAGGTAGAGACAGGAAGAAGGAAGGGAGGGACACCAGCAAGCTGCCCAAGGAGCAACATGTAATGGGATGCAGGTAAAGCCATGGAACATGTGGCAATACATAGATTAATAGTTATGGGCTAATTTAAGATATCGAGCTAGCTAGCTAAAAGCTTGAACCATGGCCATGCAGTTATAATTAATATAAGCCTCTGTGTGCTTACTTGGGGGACACGAGTGGGAGAGATTTGTCTCGACCACATGCCGGCCAGCCAGCACACAGTTAAACTTCCAACTACAAGGCACTAACTGAATAATCACTGATGAACTTTGAAAGGAATGATGTGACTGTTCACTTATCATAGCATATATCTGTTTTCAAACAGTGATATGTGGAAAGTTAGTAGGAAAGTTTACATTTTATGCAATTACTAATAAGTAATATAGTGTAGCAAATTCAGTTTTAGAGAATAATGTTATTTAACTGAATACTAGTAAATGAAATTTACACCAGTCAAAACAACTCAGGGTGGCCTACAGTATTAAAAATAAATGCGGGACTATGAACTTGGCCCAGTGGTACAAGGCTTACACAAGGTTCTAAGTTTGAAAAGAAAAAGAAAAAGAAACTGAGTATGGATAAGAGATGACCAGAACACCTTGACTTCTGGGTCATGACTCTTGGCTACTATTAAGTACATAACATTAAGATGTTGACTAACTCCTATTTTTATCTTACTTAATAATTTCAGTTTGAAATGGAGAGTCCTAATATGTATGTATGTATATATATATATATATATATTGCCTTAAAAACTTCTTAAATGTATAATCAATATAGTTCAGTTTCTTTTTTATATTGTAGAATATCCTGACCCAAGTTAAAAATTTCAAAACAGAGTAGGAAATATTTAGAAGTTAATCACTTATTTTACAACCACTTGTTCCCATTTGACTACATGAATATTGTTCTGTGTATCAATGTTTTATTACCTTGGCTATGAAGTAGTCCCAGATACTTAGCTCAGGTGGGATGAATTTCTCCTTGACTGTCAGTGACTCCTGATTTACTGAGGAAGAGGTTATGGGGGCAGATTCTCTGCAAGATGCTTTTGGTGGACTAAAATGTTTGTTTTGCTTTTCTCCTTCAACTAGTAAAGAAACAAAGAAGAAAATAGATTATTATTAAAGTACTATGTCCAATTGCCATCTTTACAAAAAAGTTACAGATAATTTCAAACAACACACATAAACTAAAATATTATTATGAAAGTACAGAGCAATTGGAAAAGCAGGTAGGAGAAGTAAGGAGGAAAGATGCTCTGTGTAATAACTTCTGTTTTTATCTTAACTTGTCCATAATTATCTGAATGCTAATTTATATGTTGTATGTAATATATAATAGATGTAGCACCTGCCTACAAAAAACAAATCACTCTATAATTTAGTTGGGATTATGATAGAAATTTCCTATATCCTTCTACTTTGTGTTTTTTTAAGAGGAAGAGGCTTGCTGATAATTCAACCCAGTGGTTTATGGATATTAAATATAGATTTTACCAGTCAGCTACCCCAATAAACACTTCAAAATAATAGATGACACAATGTCAATATAAATTAAAAATGCCACACTTCATATTGTTCAGTAACAAACTGGTCTCACTATACAAAATACATTTTTATTAGAAATTATTTTTAATATTTTGACTTCCCTAATTAAGTTGCATTACATTTTGAAAAACAGTTTAGAGATGGACTTCCTAGTCATTGGAATTACACAAAAGTGAAAACTCAGTCTTTACTTTCTAAAAACTCTAAAATTAGTATTCTTTCAGTATTTACCCTAGAAAACTAAAACAGTAGTATCTGAAAAGCAAAAATTATATGGGAGCTTGATTTAAAAAATATTTTTGGTACCAGTATTTAAAGCCAGGTCCTTGTACATGCCATGCAATTATTGCATCACTGAGCTTCATATCTACATGCTATAAAATGTTTTATCAATACTAAGTCATAAGATACATTATCAGTTGTAGACAAGCAAGGATCCTGTAGACATAACCATGACCTATTATGCAAACAATTCACATTAAGACACAACATTATTTGTCTCCAATGGTTCCAAATTAAATTTACTTACCTTCCAAAGTGATGTAAATATTTGTGTTTTAGTTACAATTTCGATTTATCATTTGGAATTATTCAACTTTAAAATACAACATGCACATGCAATATATCAAGCAACAATAATCTAAGTTTAAAATAGTAATTATGTGATTTTGGAAAGGAAAAATGAATGGCAATTTCATATTCTAAGATATTATATAATAGTGGTTCCACTGTTACTTCATCTATTAAATGATTACATTTACATATTTAAATCTACATAAACTTTTGCTTTTATTAACATCTGATGATCAACAAATTTCCAATATATACATTGTACATATAACACACACTCTAAAATTAAATGGACGAGAAACTGAATGTAGACCTTATGAATTATTTAAGAGAAACGAAAAGGATAAAATGTGGCTAATAAGAAACAAAGGCGGGGCAGGAAAGATGGCTCTGTGGTTACGGGCACTGACTGCCCTCCCGAAGGACTCGGGTTCAAATCCCAGCACCCACATGGCAGCTAACAACTGTCTGTACCTCAAAGACCTGACCTGCGGGCAAAACACCAATGCACATAAAATAAAGAAAGTAAATAAATTTAAAAAAAAAAAAAAAGAAAGAAACAAAGGCATGATTTATCCAGTAACTGATGGAAGCAGATGCAGAGACCCACTGCTGCCGAGGTTGGGATATCATGCTGAAGACATGGAGGAAGGACTGTACAAGTCAGGGGAGTCAAGGACATCACAAGGGAACCCACAGAAACAACTAACCTAGGCTCACAGGAACTCACAGAGTCTGAACCAACAGCCAGGGAGCCCACATGGGACCAACATAGGCCCTCTACATATGAATGACAGTTGTGTAGCTTGGTTTACTTGCTTGGTCTACCTGTGGAACTACTAACAACGGAAGGAGGAGCTGTCCCTAATGCTTTGGCTGGCTCTTGGGAACCTATTCTTCAAACTGGGTTGCCTTGCCCAGCCTTAATGTAAGGCAAGGAGCTCAGTCCTCAACTGGATATGCCATGCTTTGTTGATACCCTTGGGAGGCCTGCCCTTTCTGAACAGAAATGGAGGAGAGGAGCAGTGGGGAATGGGAAGAGAGGAAGAGGGAAAGCTGCAGTTGAGATGTAAAATAAATGAATAAATTTAATTTATAAGAAAAGAAAAAAAGAGGCATGCATGGGGGAAAGGCCTGATAGAATCAAGAAACATTATAAATTTCAAAAACTTAATTCTTATTTGCTTTGACTTACTAATAGGTTTTCATGTCAAAAATAGATTTCACAGACAAATATCCCTTCCTTTCCTTGAAAATTCTGATCTTACCCTCAGCACATTCTGTACTACTGATATTTAGAAATGTAAGTCATTCACAAAAGAAATCAAACAGAAATGAAGGAATGTGTATGAGGTTACAGCTAAGGCCGGGAATGGGAAACTAGAGGAATAAAAAAGGCAACACTCCTTTCTGTAAGTTTTCCTATATTACTGGATTTGCTGCCATGAAGTTATTACTGTAATGAAAATAAACAAACCAAAGGGCAGAAGTGAGAAGGGGAAGGATATGTATGAGTGGGACTGAATATGCTCCAAGTACATAATATACATGCATGAAAATGGCCTTAGGTAACCTGTACAATAATAAAAATACTACATCAGAAGCTAAGAAGCTTGTTTAACATTTATTTTACCATTTTCCTTTTTTTGTGTATATGTATGTACTTGTGTGGTGGGTGTGCATGGGATACAGGTACATATTTGCACATACACGTGGAAGCCAGAGTACAGCCTCAAGTGTCATTTCTTAGTAATGCCACCTACCTTGTTATGTGAATCAATATCTGGCACCAGCCTGGAATCACCAAGTAGTTTAGCTGACTGGCCTGTAAGCCCCCAGGATCCACCTGTCTTCACCTCCCCTTCCCCAGTGCTAAGATAACAGGGAGTGCCAATATGCCTGGTCTTCAATGTGGGTTCTGTAGACTGAACTCAGTCCTTACTCTTGCACAGCAAGCATGTCACTGACTGGGCCACCTCTCCAGACCAGCTTACTGTTTTAAAGCAGATATGACAAAACTAGTATTTTGTAAGCAGATTTAAACACTACTTCTTTAAGATCTTAACACAATCGGCAGAACTATTTCATTTCCTCCCACTTATCTTTGGGGTTCCTACAAATGCCAAAGAGTACACAAAATTCATAATGGGGAATTATGAATTTCCCCCAAAATTATGAATTAGTCCCAAAACTCAAAGGAAAAGGGTAAACTGTTTAACTGATGACTTAAAATAGTTTATGCTGAAGGAAATACAGATAAGGAAAAGATAAAGGACATTTAAGTTTAATAAAAAATAAATCCCAAATCCATTTCTGGTTTTAGCAAGACAATTCAGGCTGTTGTTAGTCTCTTAGAGACATGCATACCACAAAGGGTACTTTAGATACAAACCTACAAATATACTTCAAAGAGTCCAAAAGGAAAATACTAAAGAAGCAATGAATTAAAGTTTTTTTTCTTAAGTGAATAAGATTAATAATTTTCAAAAACTGAAATGATACTATACAGATATAACAATGCTTGACTCTCAGAGTCCTCCTAGAATCATTACCTCATATACTACTTTGTACCTGTTCTGCAGGTATTCACAAAAATAAATTTACAAGCTGGACTTGGCGACACATAGCTTTAGTTCCAGATCTTCGGAGGCAGAGGCAGGCAGATCTTTTGAGTTTAAGGTCAGCATGATCTACAAAATGAGTTCCAGGCCAGCCAGAACTGTACAGTGAGACCCTGTCTTAAAACATAAGTAAATTTATAAATATTTGAATAGGAAGTAGTAAATTTTCTCCAAATTCTATACTAAAGCATATTCCAAGATAGTTGATGTAAAAAATGATTCACTGGAAGATAGCAAGAAAATATCAAAGCTGCAATTTAGACTTCTTTGGTATGATAAAGGGAAGAGCTGGAGAGAAGGAAAAAGCAGGGCAAAGAGGAAGCAAATAAGGGGCAGGTGCTGAGACAGGGGTAGGAAGAGAGGAAAAGGGAGAGGAGAGGGCGAGGGAAAGTGGCTGGAGGAGGAAGAAAACAAGCTTTAGTGCTATACACACATGGGTACACAGGTCTAATGCTGGTGACTCATGCATGTTCTGCAAAGTGTTTATAATCAAAAGATCTAGGATCACTGTACTGGAATAGTAACTCTAAATTATTGCAAATGCCACAGTTTGGAAATATACTCAGTCTATTTTATTGCAGGACTTAGAATAGCCAAAAACGTCAGGGAAAAAAAGTCTATAGAAAGACAATATGCTTAGTTTTAATAACCTTATGAAACATCATTACCCACTGAATGAGAGTATCTAGGTCAAACAGATGATATATTACTTTTTCTTATGGCTTCTACGTTTATATATACATCAAAAGGAACAGCCTTAATAGTGAAATAAGAGAATAATTATCTGTACAAAAATATACATTTAACATTTCTTTCAAGCCATCCTGGAAGGCTTTTTATATTCTCACAAAAATAAGTGCTACTTAAATATAATGTATGACATGGCCCTCACTAAAAACCTGAGGCTAACAAACATGAATTCATTTCCCTCTAAAGTGAGTTGTTTCATGTTTGGCCGTCCTTTAGAAGCTCTTAACAATCAGTCACCAGTGATGAGTGTTTGATGTGCTCAACTGTGTTTAGTCACTGACATTCATCTTAAACGTACTTGCTGCTTTCGGTCAAAAACATCCTTCTGCTAAAGGGAAGATTGTAATAGCATGTAATAGTCACTATAAAACACTGATCTTTCATACAAATTCTATATATACAAATGATTCTGATTTTCTGATCTATATTTAGCATAATCAAAGACCAGACATAATTTTAAATGTCTTCAAAATATCTATCATTAGCAATTTCATTAAAAAAAGATATCACATGCTTACCACAAGTAAAAATACTCATTTTATATTTCATTCTACAATTAGGAGATAAAATTTTCATTAAACTTATTAAGAGAAGACAAAATTCAACAAGTTTTATGGTAAATTTTCTCACAAGATGCAAAATTATAAAAATTATAATGCAAGAAGCAAAAGTATGGATTTCTAACTGTTTGCAGAAAAAGAATAACTTTTAAAAATTGCTCTTGCTAATTTTCAACTTTAACAATTAATTACCATAAACTAAAAATATCATGAGCATACATTAATTACTACAATTATAAATAACAAAATTTTCATGTGATGCAGAATTCACAAAGGGAATTTTCATTAATGCTTAAGTTAGTAAGCTATTTATATTATGAACTTTTTGGTTAAGAATCCAAGGCTATCATTCCTATCCAGATGGCCACAGGGGGCTACATAAGAAAGCTAGCTGAGCAGGAGCCAGGGAGCATCCAGGAAGAACAGTTCCTTCATGGCTCCTGCCTCCAGGTTGCTGCCTCGAACCTCTCTGAATGATGGATCTGCAGTGTATGCCAAAATACACCCTTTTTGCCCCGTTTCTTTTGGTCAGAATGTATTAGCACAGCAACAACAACAGCAAAAACCAAACTATAACAGTCAGTAAAACAATTAGAAAAAAGTATATGAGATATGCAGGGAAAAAACCCTCTAGTTTAGTTCATGAGACCATTATTTCAAAACACTTAAAATGAGAATTTATATCAGAGTAAGAAACACAATTAGCAAATTTCAAATGCCTTTCCTAGCACTAAATTTGAAAACACTTTTTAGAGAACACATACTTAGGGGTTCCAAATAAGTATTTCATTTTCAATACACAGTACTTTGATACTGATGTTAGGGAAACAAAATATTCTAGTCTTCTCAATTTTCATTTGGCTAAATTTAACAACTTAAAGTATACATACTTTAATGCTGACTGAATTCACATCGACTTTCTGAAATACACTATTTTATCTCTGTGATGGTTAATGCTGTCAACTCAACATCATCAGGGATCACCCAGGAGACGGGCCCCTGGGCATGCCTGTACAGTTACCTTGCATTGACTGAGGTGCTATTATAGGTAGTGCCATTTCCTGGCTGGGGTCCTGGATTATCTAATTAGAGAAAAGGAGCTGAGAAGCAGCAAACATTTACTGCTCTTCACCTTCTGAGAGTAGAAATGACATGACTAGTAGCTTCAAGTTCCTCCTGCCTTGACTTGATGCCATGACGACTCTACCTTGAACTGTGAACTAAAAAAAAATTTCCTTAAGTTGCTTGTCAGAGTATTATATCATAGCAACAGGAAAAGAAATGAAGACAATCCCCTTGGTCAACAATGTACACTGAATACTATTTAATGCCATTAAGCTCTTGGGACACTGTGATTGTTCTTTTGCAGCAATCCAAACACAAAGCACTGTGGATTTACACCTAAAATTCCTCAGATTGCTGTGCTGTATTGGTGTGCTTTAAGCCTTCAGAATTTCATTTCACATTACCAGCCGTCATTCTGGTGTTTTATCCTGTTGCTCCTGGCTCTTCAGAGTGTCTGCTTCCCAGGCCTGGTGTTTCTGATTGCCAACACTCAGCTATCCACTGCGTCCCTTCCCCCTTCAGTCTCTCACTCCTCCTCTCTTGACTTCTCTTTCTTTTCTTCCCTGTTCCCTTCCAAACTAGAATAGTTTTGGAACCCAAAGCCTTTCTCTTCATCAACTGATAAATCATGTAATCGATAGTTCCTCTAAATCACATCATTCACAGTTCCTGGAAGTGCACTTGGTATGACTTCCATGACTACATTCAGAATGGTTTCTGAGTTCTCAAAGACAGGTAAGTATAAGGTGGATGTATTTATATCTAACCTTACCACAAGATAACTATGTTTCAATATTTTATTTGGCTAACTTGTCCCCAATCCAAATGGATAAACATACTGATAATAAAAAGTAATCAAATAACCAAAAATTATCAGAGAAAATGGTTAAGATTATCATTTATTAAGATCCTTACAACTATACAATGATGTTTTTGCCTACAAGCAGTAAATCTTAGTGTTTAAATAAGAATCAACCTGATCTTTGAGTAAAGCTCTTCATATTTATCTGTGCTCAGCATAAATACGTGGAACTCGGGCTAGTGATTTGGCTCAGTGGTAGAAGTTTGCTTAACACCCACATGGTTCTGGGCTCAATTTTCAGCATCAAATAAAAAGAAAGACTTGAAGCTAATAATATACTTTTCATCTTAAACCACATGTTAACATTGCTTAGCAAAAGTTATCCCTTAAATAGTTAAATAATAATTTTAAATTTAATTTAAATAATTAAGTCTTAAATAATGTTTTAAAAAAATGGAGCCAAAATTAATTTACCAATTATTAATTTAATCATTAACTCCATGACCTATGAATCTAAAGTGTATGTTAGGTTTGACAATTTTTTCTTGAACTCAAGATATATGAAAGAGACAGTCAAGCTGAATTTCATAGTTATTATTAATTGATGGAAATTATACCATGTGAAGTAACTTTAAAAATCACTGTGAAAATTAAAATGCTTAATATTTTAATAAACAAGTAAATCTGATATGTAAAGTAAATTTGCATTTAAAATCTGTAATTTTAAGGAAAAACGTAGAAGAAAATAATTTTAATTCAGAGCAAAAGGATTGGTGAGACAAGTGTGGTGGGTAGATCAATACCAGGTGATGGTATCAAGTCTGTGGAGCAGCCAATCAGCACTGGACCTTTTAGTAGAAAAGCCAAAACTGTTTCAGCTTCTGAACTACAAATTATCACTCTGATACCATTTGTCATTTCACAAGTCCTTTCCAGACTTGAAATGTAAACTTCAGTACTTAAAAGCCGCAACTTTTTAACAGAGGTAGCAAATAGGATAAAATATAACAAAAGCAAACTTTCTATCTCAGAGGCTGTCAACTATGAGTTTTTTTTTCTTTTAAGACAAGCTCTCACTATGTAGCTCTAGCTGTCCTAGAACAGAAAGGCCTTGAACTCACAGAGATTTCCCCATGTCTCCAAAGCACTGGGATTGAAAGATGTGCACCATCATGTCTAGTTTAAGACTTATTTTTATACCCAACATTTTACTGAAGTACAGCCATCCTGATTTAATGTCTATTGCTACTTTTGTGTTATAAGGGAAAACTGAGTGGTTGTGAGATACCAAAAGGTCTCTGGACCAACAAAGCTGGTTCATATCTGCTCAAAATTATGAACTCATTGCTTTACCGTAAGCATCAAATAATCCCCATCTGTTTTAAGAGCGTATCCTCCCTCTTCCATGTGTTGAAGAGGGGAAAGAGCATGAATTAAAAATTAAGAGTGACAGATGAATGAACAGTTTCAATGTGAAGATAAAGTAGAAGCTAAGCTACCAAGACTTTGGTTGTACAATCATATGGGATCATAGCTTAGTGTAAAGTGTGTCAATACTGCTAATGATTGAATATTTTAACAAGATAATGACTTCTTTTTCTTCCATTACAAAAGAATATTTAAAAACTAAAAATATTTACTTATCAGGTTATGTATAGACTTTAACAATAATGTTTTAAAAACTTTTTAAAATATTTATTTTACATATGTTTCACTTACATATATGTTTTTTTGTTTGCATGCATGTCTGTGTATCATGTGTGTGCCTGGTGCCTTGTAAGGATCAGAAGAGAATGTTGATCTCCCTGGAACTGGAGTTACACAGTTGTAAACTGCCACATGGGTGTTGATACTCAACCTGGGTCTTCCACAAAAACAAGTGCACTTAACTGCTAAGCCATCTCTCCAGCCCTACAATGCTTTTAGAAAAAATAATGGATTCAAATCAAATTGTATCTTCCTGTCAAGTCCTTTGCCAACCATCTGACCTTCCAAATCATAAATATCTAAACCTACAAATATATACAGGCATGGGTCTAAGGTACTTAACGGCAGTGGGGAGGAAGCAGATTGAAATTCAGAGATAATCTTTCTGGGCTTCACGTACAAATGTATTCATAGGAGTTCCTTTTAAAAAACATTTAAAATTGTTTCCAAATTTTTATTTGAAGATTTAAATTTACATGTATATTTACATGTTAGTATAGTTAACAGGTTTTCCATTATAAATTAAGCCCTAACTCTACTCCAGATAATTCACAAAAGTGAAAACCCAATTCTATCATGTGTGTTAATAAATCACAAAAAGTTTAAAAAAAAAAATCACAAAAATTATTTTCAAGTTGAAAAAGTGGGTTGTTTTAAATTTATTTAAATACATGTAGTTTTAACATCAGAAATGAAAAGATACAATTAAACTATTTACTTTTCACGGTATTAAAAACACTTAGAAATCCAAATATTCTAATAGCCATTCATAATATGCAGATCATAAAGCAGCCTTATGGGAAATGCTTTCTCAGTCATTTCAAGCCATACTGTGATTTCCTATGATGAGGACCAGCAATATTTTTCTTTTGGTTTTGTACATTTAGAAATGTTAAAATTTAAGGGACAGAAAATATTCAAAACCAAGTATTTGAAACTAGAATGGAATAGCATAGTTTTATAAAATGCTAATCATTGTTTTAAATCAAAAATATGGCTTGAGTAAAAGAAATTTGTCAATTTTTCTTAAATGCCAAACAAAACAAACTATCCCACACTATGCAACCCTTCAAAACCAACACAAAGCAAGCTAAATTGTAAAAGCCTATTTCTAAAGCTAATATCTTGCCTGCAAGAGTAGGAGGGCTATGAGAACTGATGGCTGAAAGAGCTTTGGAAAAGCCCACACATTCCATGGAGAATACCACTACCTGGTGGGGGCTAGGCATAGCAAAGTGCCTTCCTGCCAAAGAAAGAAGAGAAAAATCTGTATTTGGAATAGAACAAAAACCAAAGTGACTGTATTTCAAAAGAAATGAAGATTTTAATACTAAGAGACAATTCAAGTACATTAAACAGTCTCATCAGTGCAGGAGTATCTTAAAAGATTGAAAACTGCACCAGAAGCTTTAATACTTCTTTTTTTTTTAAAACCACATTATTTTTTTGTTGATAGTCTTGTACAACGAGTTTTCTGACACAAAATTAAAACATAATTACACTTAACAAAGTTATCCATCTGAATAAAGCTTTAAAAGAGAGAGAGAGAGAGAAGAGAAGAGAAAAAGGGAGAGGGGAGGAGGAGGAGGAGGAGGAGGAGGAGGAGGAGGAGGAGAAGGAGACAGTAAACCTTACCTGAGGCAGCTTTCGAGTGTGTGTGTGCTCCTCCCCCAAACACTGCAGACCACATGTTTTCATTTAGGGGGTGGGCTACGATCCGAAACAGCTCATTACTAGAATGTGTTGCCAGCCCATGAATGAACAGACTAAGATACACTGCTGTGAGAATTTCACAAAGCAAGACTGTAAGTCCTGATTGGGCTTCTTCACCAGACGAATTCAAAAGTTGAATTAGACAGTTTATTCCTAGGACAAACAAACAAACAAACAAACAGCTGCCATTAGCAACAACAACATCTTTTAAAGCTAAAAATTAAACACAGTTTTCTACTTTTTGAGTTTTTGAAAAAATTTACTCAATCAGCATTAAATCATCCCCTTCCCTGGATTCATAACCAGTAGGTAATTATGGTTTAAGAGCATTTGCTGAAATATTTGTTCAATTTAGATAAAGTGAAAATTAAACTTATGTCAAATCTCAGTTACAATGTTAATGGCATAAATATTTTGATAAAATATTTTAAATTGTTTAAGAAATAATTTAACAAAATGAGCTACTTTAATATAGTGATCAAGGAAGTATTGTTTATTTAATAATGTCTTGTGTAACAAGAGCGTTTTGTGATTAAAATGTAACTGAAGAATTTGCATTGAATTTGTAATGGTGTCAAATCTAGCAATATTTAACAATGATCACCAAATAGTAAAACTAAGCCAAATCTGCTTTTTACCATTTATCACTTCCAATAAGGCTAAAAAAATAATTCATATATGTAAATTACTTATACCTGGCCATTGAGCTGGTGATGTGTTGGGGGTTACTGATTCATCTAAACTTCCTGTTCTCAAAGAATGTCGATGGGCAAGCAGTACTGTCTGATACACCATTCCAGTAAACTGATTTGTTTGAAATGAACTAAAAAGGAAACAATATTTAAACCTAAGATGAACTCCATATGTATTATTCCCATTCTTAGATACAATTTCTAAGGTATCTTAAATAGAAATTTTTGTTTATAAATTATACTGTTTTTATGTCTAAATAATACGTTCTCCGGTGCTATATTGTATCAATACAGTATTCTCTAAAGTGAAAATATACATATTCTAAGCTAAACAAATTTGACAAGTATCTAGTATATTTATTTAGTGAAAGATGAAGAATACATTAAAAAAAAAAAACCACCACATTATTTTGGGCCATAAGAAGCAAGCTTAAATATATAACTTTAAAACAAAGCTATTTGATTGAAAATGAAGTGAGTCTAGGCTCAATTTCATAGTTAATGGCTAGCCCATCCTCTATCTGGCACTGAACCAGGTACTAAGCATGTAATACAAAGTAATTTCTGTCCCTATAAATCTTTTAATATAATGAGGGAAATGGACACAAATAATTTTATCATATTGCTCTTGATAAAATTATACATACCACACTATGAAGGCAAATGAGATAAGCATTATTACATATTAAAGAACTTACAGTAATTTAATAAAAGATTAAGTAAACAAATAACAGGGTAGCATAACTATTTTAACATTTTGATACCCAGCAGCAAAAAGAACTTATAAAAATGCTAGAAAGTAGTACTGCAGATGTTCCTATAGTATATATACAGTAAACGAATATAATATTTACACTTAGAAAGACAGTGCCTTAAAGATGTTATACTTGGTGAATCTCACTGATCCTAACATTTTGATATTTGTAAATAGATTATTGGGCTTTATTTTCCAAATTTAAGATGGCAGAATAGCAACAAAAATTCACTCAGCCTGTAGAAATATTTATGATAAGATAAAAACATGTTGATGAAACCAAAGCAATACTCAATTACATAAATGAACTCATGATCAAAGAAAATAAAAATTGAAGCTACCTTGGTAATATACAACCAGAGTGGTAAGTGGTGCTGTTCAAGAACAATTCTTAAGAGATAAGATGAAATGATAACCAAAAACCAATACCGATGAGAGTTGATACCATGTAAGAGATAATAAACTATCTACAACATCTCCACTCACAAAAGCAAACTTACTGAAACAGTTAAAAAGAATGTTATACTTAAATAACTTTTCTAAAGTCAAAACACAAAGAGAAAGCATAAAAATGGAAGAAATGATTAAAAGAGATTGAGAGGGACATTACATACATAGTGGGCTAGGAATCTCCTGATTTTTCCCTCCACCCAGGGATGTACCATATACATCTATCAATGGATTGATTCCCTCTGAAAAAAAGTCAGAAACCAGTTGAAAACTCCCAGCCACTAGATAATTGAGAAAATATCGTACCAAATAGGAAGGAAAAGCTATGACACAATCAGATATGGAGTCATTCACTACAAAATTGGGTAGCTATCTATCTTCTTACGAAGATAAGGAAACAAGTAGACCTTGTGTAATAGTCTCTAACTCTTAAGGTTCTCCACAATTACACTCTTTTTATTAAACTTGTTTGAGAACTTCATTCATGAGTCTTGTTTACATTTTTTCTAGCCCTTTCTCACTCAACTCATCCTGTGTCCCTCCTACTTTCTCAAACTCATGACTTACTATTGTTATGTGCAAATGTGTGTGTGTGTGTGTGTGTGTGTGTGTGTGTGTCTACACATACAACCTACTGAGTCCATTTAGAAATGTTTTTATGTTCATGTGCTTAGGGCTGATCAACTGGGACTAAATAACCCATCAGAAGTTTGTACCTGGAGAAAACTCATTCTCCCTATCTCAGCAGCCATTGACTGCTTTTTAGCTCTTAATCTAGAGGTGGGGCCATAAGAAATTTCCCCTCTCTATGCTGTTTAGACAACAACACTACTGAGATTTCATGGCTTTTGTTTCCTTCTCATATCTAGAAGTCATTGTCTTGCAGCAGGAATCTCTTAAATCTTTCAGCCTCATCTTGCATGATTTTCCCTGAGCCTTAGGTAGGGCTTATGTTATTATATATATATCAGTTGGGATTAGGCATCCCATTAGTTATATTATATATTAGTTGTATTATATATATCAGTTGGGATTAGGCATCTCATGTCCAATTGTTCTAAAATACTGATTTATCAACTAAGGGAACAAAAAGGATTAGACAGAAAAGGCTGCTCTAGCCTTCACAGGTACAAAAGGACTCCCAGGAAGTACTACTACCTGGAAGTAGGGACAGGACCTAAATAAAACAAAACAACACAGAGTTCCCAACCCTGTTAACCCCCCACTCCCATCACTGACTGACCTGGGGTTGACAAAATACCCCAGGCAAGAGCTACCCGTGGCCTTGCTTTTAATCAACTTGAACTGAAAATTAAAGATATAATCATTAATCCTTCATTTGTGGTAAAATGGATGAATCCTGAGGACATCATATTAAATGAAATAAGCTAGGTACAGGGGGAAAATGCCATTTTTCTCTAAAATGTATAAATATTATAAAAGTTATCTCATGATGGTAGTTACCAGAAACTAGAAAGGAGGGTAAAACAGAGAGGCTGTGTAACAAGAACAGAACTTCAGTTAGACAGAAGGGATCATTTCCAGTATTCTATAGCACAGCACAGTGGCTACCGTTAATACTGTGCTGTTTCAAAATACCTATGACAGAATTTTGAATCTTATCACAAAGAATAATAAATACCTCAATACCCAGTTTTGATCACTAGTGTATGCATTGTTGTATCAAAAGTATCACATACTGTAATGCATAAATATGTATTATCAATGTGTATAAATTTAAAAACCAATTTGCAGTCTTAAAATGAAAAAAGAATTTCTTAAATTTTATTTTGTTACATTTTGTTGTTATCTTTTAGAACCCTGTTCTTTTCTAATGAGACAGAAAGGAAGTTTTTCTGGGTGGGAGGTGTGATGGGGTGGAACTGAAAAGAAGGTGGGCAAGCTGGAATCAGGATACACTATATGAGAAATAATCTATTTACAATTAAAAAAGAAAAAAAATGGATGTACAAGTTCTAGTATTGTCTCAAAAGTAACAGAAGACAGATAATAGTTAAAGAAATAATGTCAGGGGCTAGGGAGATGGCTCAGAGGTTAAGAGCACTGGCTGCTCTTCCAGAGGTCCTGAGTTCAATTCCTAGCAACCACATGGTGGCTCACAACCATTTATAATGAGATCTGGTGTCCTCTTCTGGCCTGCAGGTGTACATGCAGACAGAACAATGTATGCATAATAAATAAAACTTGTAAAAAAAAAAAGAAGCCGGGCGTTGGTGGCGCACGCCTTTAATCCCAGCACTCGGGAGGCAGAGGCAGGCGGATCTCTGTGAGTTCGAGGCCAGCCTGGGCTACCGAGTGAGCTCCAGGAAAGGCGCAAAGCTACATAGAGAAACCCTGTCTCGAAAAACCAAAAAAAAAAAAAAAAAGAAAAGAAAGAATGTCAGAGTATTTCAAAAAAACTAAAGGTAGACTACACACCAGAATGTCAATGTTTAGGCTTTTAACAATTATTCTGAATACAGAACATGAAGAGGAAATTCCTAAATAGGAAATCTGAAAAATTTCTCAATCCTGTTATCAGTAATTCCTTTGCCTATGTGCCTCAGACTTTTTGTTATACATCAAATTATAGAATTTATCACTTACGTATGATATTTATTATGTATCATCTATTCATCTGTTTTAATGAGAACAATCCTAAGGAAAGAGTATTTGACTGATTTTTAATTTCTCAGTATCTATCACAATATTTAGCATGATGGCAGTGATCAATTTTAGGCAGTTAAGTTACAATAACAAGGGTTAGCTTCAGTTTCCTTTGTATAAAAGTATAAGCTGAAATTTCAAAGACGAAGAAAAATATTCAATATCTCAATCATGTGCTTTTTGCATTTACTGAAAGAAGTGTTATATATAGTTTTGAATTAATAATGTATAGATAGGAAACCTCACTGTTTACTGAAAGTGGTCTTAAATTTCACAAGAAGGTATTTACCTGTAGTTATGACTACCACAAAGGCACTGATAAATACAAGCAGAAAGTGAGGCTGCTAAAGTATGCATTACATATACCTGGAAAAAAAAACAAAAAACAAAAAACACACAATTATTTTAAGTAGAATTTTTTCGGTATAATTTTGCCAGAAAGGAAATAAGTCTTTTGCCTCTGTGGACTATGTTCTTCTTTTTGTCCCCTTAGGAACAGTTTCTACCCACAGAAGTCATTCTATAGAAATGTTAAAGAAAAGACAGAGTTCTCTGGCAGAAATTACAAACCACACAACTATTATGAATTTCTCCAGAGCAAAGGTGAGAAGTATGAACTACTCAGAACAATATGAATCATGTACTAAGTGTCCGCCTTTTCTTAAATAAAATATGAATAAGTAATAGTAATAAGTGACAGTTCACTTATGGACAGGTCACCAAAAAAAATGCCAGCATGTATTATAGTCATCTGAGAATGAAACTTTAGAGAAAAAAAAAAGAAAGGCAGTGAAAGCAAATAATGGTTTTAAGGAAGAAAGGATTCTAATCTGACATAACAGGAGCTATAATAATAGAAGCCTGGATGAAGAAGATTAAGGCAGAAGAGCAGGTTAGAATATAAAAGATTATCTGATTATGAAGTATAAGTCTTTCATGTAGATAACAATGGGTATTGATAGATAAAAGTCTAATTGCTTTTTGGGCTTCAATTGTCAGTAAGATCTGTGGTTAATATCATCTACCGAAATTGCTAGAATGCAAGTATGATAACAATAAGTGGTAATATCTCTCCATATAGGGTTGACATCTACTTCTCTATTCATTGGTCTTTTGACTTATTTGACCAATGAACAGAAGAGAAGAAATGTGAGCCCTGAGCTTACAACTCCAAAGGCAAATTCTACTCTTGCTGCTCTTAAACTCCTGAAACTTTTGTGTAACAAACAGAAACAAAGTGTTACTGGGCTATGAGGTATACAAACACTTGGGTAAACATTACTGAGTGATTCTCTGATGGTATTTCTTTTCTTTTCTTTTCTTTTCTTTTCTTTTCAGTTTTTCGAGACAGGGTGTCTCTGTGTAGCTTTGCGCCTTTCCTGGAATTCGCTTTGTAGACCAGGCTGGCCTCGAACTCACAGAGATCCGCCTGCCTCTGCCTCCCTAGTGCTGGGATTAAAGGCGTGCGCCACCACCGTCCAGCCTCTGATGGTATTTCTTCAAGCAAAAATATCTGAACTAAGTAGTCTGATGAAACAGACTGATCTCTCCTTCGCCAATCATCTGGGAGCCCTAACAGGAAGAGGTGGTAAGGAGCAACCTTACCTTTTGTCATCATCCCACCCCCATCTTCAGGGTCTAACCGAAACATGAGCTCTTCTTGGCTATCAAGCTTTTAGAATAGAACTTACTTCCTAAGCTTTGAACCTGGACTGGAACTATAAGGCCCTTTCTTCTATTCACCAGTTTACCATGGTAAATCCTTGAGCAACTCAGCCATCACAGTCGCTGTGGTAGTTTAAATGAGAATGGCTCCCATAGGCTAATATATTTGGATGTTTGGTTCCCAGTTCGTGGACTGTTCAACAAAGATTAGGAGATATGGTCTTGTTGAAGGAAGTCTGTCACTGGGGTGGGCTTTGAGGTTTCAAAGGCCGATGCCAAGCCCTGTCTCTTTCTCTGCCTCCTCCTTATGGATCAGGATATAAGCTCTCGGCTACAGCTCCAGCACCATGCCTGCCTGCCATCACATTTCCTGCCATAATGACCATGGACTAATATTCTGAAACTGTACGCAAGCCCTCAATATAATGTTTTTCTTTTATAAGCTGCCTTGGTTGAGGTATTTATTCAGAGCAATGAATAGTAACTATGCCAATTACTTACAAACAATTTCTTTACCTCTTCCTCCTTTCCTATTCCATCACACTCTTCATACATCCTATCAGTTCTATTTCTCTGAAGAAACGAGTTTTACTATTTGGCTTACCTGCTGGAGGTGAGACACATAAAGTCAAATCTATCAATCACAAGAAAATAAACGAGGCTCTATCACTTAGAATTTAGTTCCCCACCAGGAGATGAAGAATAAATGAAGTGAATTGATTCCTGTGATTAATGCTAATAGGCCAGCAAGATAGCTCAGCAGGTAAAGGATTTGCCAACAAGCCTGAGTTTACTCTCTGGGGCTCACACAGAAGAGAAGTGATACCCAAGAGTCGTCCTCTAAGTCCACATGTGAGTTGTAGCATTCAAGTGTGCATATACACATACACACATACACAAATATATAAAATCAATGAATATAGAAGTGTAATAAAATAAAGAAGCAGAATTAAAGAATGCAGTTTGTTGAAAATGAGCACTTTTCAGGAATTAGTTTTCAAATTATATAGTATATACTTTAGGGATTTATACTATAGAGTAATATAGCAAAAGAAGTGGGGCTACACCCCCCTCCCAAATTGTAAGAATTAAGCATATAGAAAAGGGTAAAATTGTGGAAGGAGAGTCAACTATCAGGAGAACAGAAAACCAAACTGGTAATGTATCATAGCCTGGGAGGTAGCAGGAATCTTAAGATGGTGTCAGAAAAAAATCCTGAGGGATATACCAAAACTGCCAATTAAACTCAGTCATTAAAGGGATCTCAAGAGAGGAAAGATCAAATATAGTTTCAACAGGAGATAAAGCACAGTTAGATGGATAAGAAGATGGTGGGATCAATTAAATTATCTGTAATATGATTAGTACATTTTAAAGAAATTCCAAGTCTCTTAGTAACAAACTTATTCCTGAGTCACTCTCACAGTGGAGTCAATGAATCTGGAATGAATTTAGGAATTCAAACTTTTAGCAGATGATTCTATTAGCCTTGAGAGGAGAGGTAACAAGATACTTCACATTATTTTTAAAATGTGTAGCTTAGTATTGACATGGGAATAATTCAGTTACCTGTTAGTGCTTTAATACCAAAAATATTAAGCTTCTATCCTTTAAGAAAATATAGTATTCCACCCACTGAAAGCACCCTACCCTTTATAAACTTAAGAAGGGCCAGCAAGATGGCTCCATGGGTTTTGCACCTGTCACCAAAACTGACAACATGAGTTAGAGCTCCAGAACTCACATGGTAGAAGGAGAGAACTGACTGACTCCTGCCAATGTCTCCTGACCTCCATGTGTGCAGTGGCATCTGTGCACCCACACACATACACACAACTTTTAATGCAATAAAAAAGGTTATGGAATAATGTGGCTACAGATATATACATATTTTTTACTGTTTACTTATGCTTATTTATTGTGTGTCTTGATGAGGTCACGAACAACTTGCTGCAGTCATCTGTTCTCGTCTTCCACCATGTGGACACAAAGCATCCAGCGCAGGTTTTCAGTAGTAAGTGCCTTTAACAACTAAGTCATCTCTCCAGCCCCACTGCTTTAATCTTAATGAAGCAAATGAAGAGTAAACAACTGACACAAAAGAACTCAAGTATGCTATAAGATGTAAGTAACACAGTAAGTCTGGTCCATAGCCAGGGTCCTTAAATGGCAATTGTTAGCACAATGAATACTATGTCTAGTCTGGTGTTTTAATTTTTGTTAGAAAGGATTAATATTTATATCTTCATTTTATCATTCTGTGTAAGTAAATGAAAAGCTTAAAATGAAACTGAAAATACTTGTAGGAGGCAAAATAAACCAGATTCAGAAAAGAAGTACTTGAAGGTAGGAGGAGGCCTACTTGGGGAAAGAGAAACTAGGGAGAGAAGGAATGAGTACATAAGAAGAGGAGTGGTCTAACAGAGAGTGTATGTGGAAAATGCAATTGAACATTTTCTACATGTGTAAAAATGTTATAATAAAATCCATAATTTTATCTAAATAACATACACTGGTAACAAAAAAAAGGTTGAAATGCAGCATACTTACTTTACTGCTTTGGCTATCAGGATGAGGTGGTGAATCAAAATTTATTATGGCATGTAGAATATCATGTGTGAGATTACTAAGGTGCAATAGTGGATTGGCAACTACTGTTTTGGCACTGGCTGTACAAGCAAAGAGAAGAGGCACTGAAGTTTGTTCTGACAGCGGGTTAGAAAATACTGGTTCTGCCGTTTCCTTAAAAATAAAGAGGAAAAACAAGTTAAACAACTATGTAGTTATAATCTACTCCTAAGGAATTAAATAATTCAGGGGATCTTTCAAAAAGCTTCAAAATTGAAAATGAAAAGCCTTCAGAGTATATACACCTTAAGTTGTTATGACCTGAGGTGGTAAATGTTTCCACAGCTGTATCTAAAACGTACTACCCTTAACCCTCCTCGATAAGGTGAAGCTCATTCCCTCAGACGGCATTCATAAGATGTGTTCATACAAATTAAGGAAGTCATAACATCTGACAAGATCTGATCTGCAACTGTAACGTACACAGTTGCTCCAATTCCTACTATGACTAGACACAAAGGTTCATTCCTTAAAGCAAATGTATTAATATTTAAAACCAAAAACACAACACCAAAAGCTACTTTAGACCTGTAGTATCTTTTTCTTTAAATAAAGCTTTTAAGCCAGGTGGTAGTGGTGCATGGGAGGCGGATTTCTGTGAGTTCGAGGCCAGCCTGGTCTACAGAGCGAGTCCTAGTACAGGCTCTAAAACTACACAGAGAAACCCTGTCTTGAAAAAAACCAAATTAAAAAAAGCTTTTAAAATTTTAAAATTAACATAATTATATTACTTCCTCTCCTTTCCTTTCTTGCACATGTTCTATGTTTGACTTATTAAAGTTATATACCTGCCAGTGTGACAGTTCATGCCTTTAATCCCAGCATTTGGGAGGTACAGACAGAGGCAGAAGGATCTCTGTGAGGTCAAGGTCAGTCTGGTCTACATAGGGAGTTATAGACTAGCTAGAGTTACATGATCACACCTTGCCTTGAAACAAAACAAAAATGTTACATACCTGCTGAGATTCTTGTAAAAGTAAAATTAATTCCATTCTCACAGATGCAAGACCCCCACCATGAGAGCCATGAAGTACGCAGTAACTAAGAAACATTCTCAAGAGTGACTGATACTTCAAAAGCCACTGTCTTTTTTCCTGGAAACTTTCTCTCCGTTGATTCACTTTTGTTTGGTGGGGCAAATCATCAGTCTCCTCACTTAACTCAGATTTCCCTGCACTTTGACTAAATGTGGTCTGCAGCTGTTCTGCATCTGAGCAAAAGTCACAAGTCCTCTGAAGAGCCACAACCTCTTTTTCAAGCCAGTGGTAGAGTTGGTAACGCAATTTCCCACCATCTATTTCATAGCCAGTAGATAAAGTACGGAGTTCCACTGTAAGAATCTTTAAACATGCTCTAAATTTTAGTTGAACAGCAATTATATCTTCTGATGGATTTAAAATATCACTTTCATCTAGTGTGCTTAAAGAGTCTGTGTAACTACTTAATTCATCTAATTTTTTGTCTGTTTTTCTTGGCAAAGGTTTTATTTCTTTCATTGAAATAGGGGGATCTTCATTTTCTTCATCATTCTCGCTATCCCATTTCAACTCCAAAGAGTCATCCTGAAATACCATACTTGGTTGGCTCCAATCAAAAGATAAGGTGGAGTTTGACTGTTTCTCTGAAGAACCTTCTGAAGAAGATTCAAAACCATTTATCAGTGACTGTGACCAGTCAACAGCAGAAGACTTATCTTCTCTTGCATCCGATTGTAATGGAGAAGAATCTTTACTAGTAAAAAAACTAGTAGATGCTCTATAAAAGTTTTTTGTTTTCTTGACAACTTTGGGCATCTTTGACAATACTTCCAAAGCCAACATGGGGCAACCAGATTTTAGGTGCGCACTAGCAGTACTAAAAAATAATCTTCTTTCGCTTAGATTAATTGTTCCAGCCAGTCCACTTTTTCCTGTTAAAGCCATATGCGTTGAAAATGTATCAGATGATCCAAAATGACGTCTTAGCAAAAGTGGATGGGTTCTTAGATAATTGTAGAAATTAAAAACTATAGGATTACAGGCTGACATCATGACTTGATCTGAAAATAAATTCACTTTATAAGTCAAAAGAAGCTCAAGAAAAATCTGAACTGAGAATTTATGACTGTATAAAAGTCTCTTTTCTCTTTGAAAAAACATGAGCAGGTCTTTGGACAAATTATAATAGACCACACTAATCCATATCACTGAACAGACAAGAGCACATTTTACAATTGTATTTTAAACTAAAACAATGCCTTCCTATAGAATTTTTAGCTCTTTTCTCTTGATTTCCTGGATACACCTCTTCAGTCAGCTTGGCTAGTCCTTGTCTTCCCTGACCATAAATGCTGTGCTCTATCCACACCCCCTGAGTTAAACTCCTAAAAGTCCCATGATCTTAAACACCATTTATATGCTGTTAATTTTCACATCTCTATCTCCTCTTTCCTAAATTCCCCATTTCATTATACTTAAATACAAACATTTTTGCCCTGGTGGTTTCTTATTTAATGTGCCCGTGGTGCATATCACCCTTTATCCACCCATCTCTTTAGATTGACTTGCTTATTTCAACAAGTCCTTTGCCCAAAGGTTATCTAATTAGAGAAGGTTTCTCTATCTAATCAACACTCCATCATATCATTCACTATTAGTCAAGCTAAAAATCCAGGAGTTACCATTAATTTCTTAGTCTTTGACACTCCATATAAAATTTAGTCCTGTGTAGTCAAACTAAAATTATCCCATATTCATATATTTCTCTCTGCCTGTAGTCCTATCATACTGGTACTATCAATTAAGCCAGTAGTATCATATCATTTGTCTTTCAGAAGAACCCTGATTTAAATCGTTCTAGGGGGCTAGAGAGATGGCTCAGCCGTTAAAGGCTAGGCTCACAACCAAAAATAAATCGTTCTAGGAATGTGGTCTTGCATTAGTATCTCTCTCTCTCTCTCTCTCTCT